AACCATTGGGCAGTAATGCTCTTGCTTCTATTTTGGGCCATGCATCTTTAATTCTTTATTCTATGTGTGGGGACCTTGTGTTTAAATTTGCAATACTGCTTCTGTGGGTCATGAAAGCTTGACGACTATTGCTATATATATTTCATGATGTTTAAATATTTTACTTTATAATCTAATTATTTGTGAATTGTAAATAATTTTGTTTTCTAGTTAGTTGCATATTTTGATATTTTTATCTTGCTTTGTATTGTGATGGTTTTTTCTTCACCATATGTTTCACCTTTTTTTTTTTTGTTTTTTTATAGGTGAGAACTTTGAATATTTTACAATTGAAATGCACCATGGGGGAATTTTAGTCTTGGGAACAGTCAATATAGAGGCGGTGGAAAAAACTTTGTGGACTATTGTAGTGTTGATGAAATGTCACCCCTGGAGCTTGAGGACATCATAGAAAAACTTAGCCACAAAGATGGAGCTAATATGGTTTTCTTGTGCTTAATGCCTGGTCTGAAACTTAATAATGGTCTGTGGGTGATTGAAAACGATGTTGATTGTAAGGAAATGGTGAGTCATTTGCCTGAAAATAGAAGCATATGTGTCTATTCTAAGGGGAAAAAGAATGAAGAAACAATTGGAGATTTATTCACTATGTCCAAATTGCCATTTATCTACACACAAAAACTGTAACTAAAACTCCAAAAAACGTAGCTATAGTCCTTCTACATACTATGGTTACACATTAGATAACATAGTTACTGTATTATGTAGCTAAAGATAACTGGCTATGTTTACAATCATATTGTTACAATTTTTAAATGTGCAAGTTTAGACTTTAGAGAACCTATACCTACATTTACAAAATCGTATGTAAATAAAAATACCTACACTTATTAATTGTAGGTAAAAACAAATGACAACAACAAAATGTGGTTTAGATATCATCATTTAACATTAATATTTGTTATTACTAAATATATTATCTAATAATACTATAAGTTGTACTAAAAAATATTATATCGTAACAATCTTATTGTGTATAAAATGAATATTTCATAACAATATTTATTATTACTAAATATATTATTGTAAAACCACATAAATTGATGCAAAATAATGCATCTTACAACAATCTTATTCGTACTTAAAACTAATATATTCTAATGGTATTTATCATTACCAAATATATGATATAATAACATCATAAGTTGTAACAAAAATCATTATCTAGTAACAATTTTCAATCGTTTTATAAACTAAAATTTATCAGTAATAATAGTCATTGATAAAAATGATATATAATAACAACTTTATTTATTTTAATTACTTATTTTAACTCCTTTATCAATCAATTTTAAAAATATAATATCCTAACAAACAAGTTATTACCTAAAATTAAATTTTCTAATAACATATTTCGTTATAAAATATATTGCTTAATAACAATACTAGTTCTTATTTAAATTAAAGCTTTCCAACAATAACTATTTGTTATGCAAAGAAAGTTTGCCAACGGTAAAAAATATTGTTGCAAAAAATTAATTAAGTAATCACTTTAATTGTTTCTAAATATGTATTTTTACATCGTTTCAATCATTGTTAAAAAGGGTATTTCTTTATAATGAAACTTATTTTGTAAAATAGTATTCGAAACCACTTTTTACTTGTCATAAAGCGATTCTATCAATGATATTTAATATTGAGCAATATCTTTTTTCATAATAATAATGATAGTTCTAAATAAAAGTATTACACTTTACAAGGTAAGATGTTATAAAAAAACTTGTATGATAACAAAATTAATTGCTACAAAATAAGTAATTTGTAACCATGTATGTTGTTTAATAAATAAGAATTGGTAACAAGAAAACTAGTTGTAATAAATAAATTTTATAGTCATTCTTTTCCTTTTTAAAATAATATTTTGCAACTAAATTATATGTCATGAAAAAATACATACAAAAACCATTTTTAATGATGATAAAAGGGGTTTCCTAATTTTAAAAGTTGTTTCATAAAACTGTGTTTAACAACAAAATATAGGATAATGATGCACGCACACTCCCATACCACACACTTTGTTACACCTTTCAATTTCCGTTATTTTGCCGTTAATTACACTTAACTCCGTTACCACCTCTTCAGCCCTCTCCCAACTCACCCAACCCTTTCCATCCTAACCAGATCCATCTTCCTCCTCACCTCCATCCTTATTATAATCATCTGCAAGACAATTGCCAGCCTCTCCCAGGTTCCCACCTTCTTCTTTTTTTCTTTTTTCTTTTTTTTTTTCTTTTATGGAGAACCCCAGGTTCTTGGTGGGTTCTCCAAGAACCTAGATTGGGTTCTTGGTGGGTTCTCCAAGAAGAACCCAAGTCGAGCTCATTTGGAGAACCTAATTTGGGTTCTCAGAGAACCCAAACCTGGATTCTCGGAGAACTAGGGAGAAAAAAAAAATGGAAAAAAAAGATAAAGGAAGAAGGTGGGAACTTGGTACGGTGAGAGTATAATGGAGATTAACAGAGTGTGTGGGAGCTAACGGAAAAAAGAGTGTGTAACAGGAGTGTGGTGCGGTCAGTGTAAACCAATCATGGTCCTGAAATATATTATTGTAGTATAATAATTATGATAAAAAATTTATAGTTTTGTAAATTCATATCTACTAACACTTTAAATAGTTACAATATTAATATCAATATGTAAAATATCAATATTTATTGTAAATAATGTATCTATTAACAACTTGCAACACTCCTAAAAACACAATATTGTAAAGTTGCATATTCTGTATGGTATAAATGCTTACACTAGTGGAGGATCTTCTCAATTCAGGCCAAGAATTGCTATGAAACTTTCGAGCAACACTCTCCTCCTTTTAAAGATCAATTAGTGAGAGCCAGGTGGGATGCGATGTTGTAAATTTTAATTAAAAAATGGTAACTGATAGTTCTATTCCAATGGTTACAAATTCATTATTTTCAAAATCAATTTTAGTGGTTACAAATCCATTATTTAATTTTGCTTTTAACCGACAACAGTTACAATCCATTCATTTTCGTTTTGTCAAATGTTTTAAATCTATATATTATTATATTTGATTGCATCAGTTACAAATCTTGCTTGATACTAGAGAATTTCAGTTAAAAATTATAATAATTCTACTTCGGTTATAGAGTAGAGCTTATGAAAAAGGCAACCTCTATTTTTTACAAATT